CACTGCTTTATCACAATGTTAAGATTTCTCTTAAACTATAAACAAATGCTAAAATTGTACCCATGAGGGAACTGTTTTATTACTTAACCCACGTTAGCCAATCACAAAAAGATTTTCTTACCTTTTAACTTCAACAGTATAACAGGGACATTCTGCTCAGGACTTTTTACAACTTCAGACGCTAAAGATAAGATCCTTGGGTCTGTACCTGTTGGCTTCATTTCTTGTATCACCTATATTTTAATAGAATCAGGAAAACAAAGGTCAAATATAATATCCACTCCCTAAATGTTTGAAATATAATTTAAATATAAATGAAAACTTGGCTTGTTTTGTTTGAGAAGTGAAGGATAGGTGTTTTTTTTTTTTCATTCTCCCTTATAAGAAATGGGTTTTTCTAACTAGTGTACCTGTACCACTAAAAGAGCTAGAGACTTCTATACTTTACTGTAACAGCTAAAATTGATATTGTTTATTGTGTATTCATTAATAGTCAGGAACAGTGTTTGAGGCTTCACATTCACACTTTCTAATCTGCACAACAACCCTAGGATAGAAATTAACGTTCTTTTATAATGAAAGAAAAATCACACCCACATAAAAGAGCTCACATAGGCTGGAGACTATTTTTTCAAAGGACTCCTTACAACTCTGACCTTTGGCTGGTGTCTGGAAACTTGGATTTCAGGAGGTTTCTTCCATTCTCTAGTATGAATGGCTCACACTGTCTACACAATATGATTTATGCTGAATGCCTGCTTTCCTTCCTGAAGTTCAGAATTCTGGTACATGCTAGTAGATAATGTCTACATTATCATCCTTCAATAAAGACTGGTCACTGAGTCTCCAGTGAGCTTCCCTGATAGACTTCAATATGCTGTCACAACTCATTGCAAGAGAAATTAAGAATGTCCTATGTGACTCTTCTAGGAGAGGACTTTTGGAAGTTTGCACCTATTTTCCTCTAGATTTCGCCCTATGGGCCTTTTCCTTTTGCTGGTTTTGGTTTTTATCACCATAATAAATCACAGTCATGAATATGGCTGTATCCTGAGAACTGTGAGCCTTCCTAGCATATCATACAACCTGGGCTTGTTCTTGGAGATTCCCAACACACAACTCAGAAATGTTATGTAGTTATAAGATAACTGAAGCCTGTTTATAAAAGCACACTGAATAAAATCAATTATCTTAAATTTTTTAAAAATCCACATCCCAATTCAATTTGTTGCTAAAACTTTATAAAAAATAATTTAAAGCATTCAAAGCTCAAAGAGATCACTCCAAGAAGTATAATCTTCACTTATTTATATTTAACAGAAGCTAACATATTATTTACTATGCACTATGCTAAGTGCATTTATAAGCATACCTTATTTAATCCTCAAAACAGGATTATAAAGTAAAGCTGTAATCATCTTCATTTTACAGATAAGAAACATAAAGCCTGAAGAACTTAAGAAGCTTGTCATGACTCCACTAGCATGTTTTCAAATTCCCATCAGTCTGACTCCAAAGTCTGTGGTTATAATTACAATATTTATAATAGTCCCCCCCCATGTAGAAGAGTAAAAAACACAAAACATACCCCAAACTACTTACTTCTAACTCACTTTTTTTAACTAATGTTCTCTATAACTATCCATGCTTTATATTGAAGAGTTGGCTGTAATACAGGCACCCTAAATCATCCTTTATTAGATCAAACAAGTTATTAAAAAAACACAAAATTTCAACAAATATTTTCAAGAAAGTCCAGCACAACTTCCAGAACATAATCAGGCATGCCACTTTCCAAGAATGTGGATAGTTATCTCATCCTTTCCAATGGCAGCATTACGTTATGCTTCCTCTGTAAGAGTGAATCAAAATACAGCACTCGCCCCTTTACCCACAGTTTCACTTTCTGCAGTTTCAGTTATCCACAGTCAACAGAGGCCCAAAAGTATTATATAGAAAATTCCAGAAATAAACAATTCACAATTTTTAAGTTGCATGCCATTCTGAGTAGCTTGATGAAATCTCCCACCATTCCGCTCCCTTCTGCTCTGGATGTGAATCATTTGTCAGCATTTCCATACACTTCCCGCCCACTAGTCACTTAGTAGCCTTCTCAGTGATGGCATAGCCTGCCTTGGTGTCAAAGTATTTATATTCCAGTAACGCTTATTTTACTAAATAATGGCCCCAGAGCACATGAGTAATGATGCTGGCCAATTTGGATATGCCCAAGAGAAGCTGTAAAGCGCTTTAAGTAAAAAGGTCATTACATCCTAAGATATTTTCAGAGACCACATTCACATATCTTTTATTAATTTATTGTTATAATTATTCTATTTTATTATTAGTCATTGTCGTTGATCTCTTACTATGCCTAATTTATAAACTTTAATGTAAGGACATATACATAGGAAAAAATATAGTATATAAAGGGTTTGGTACTATCTGTCATTGCAGGCATCCACTGTGGGCCTTGAAATGTATCCCCCATGGATAAGGGGGAGTCTACTGTATATTCAGACACCCCCTATTGGCAGTCATTCAGAGTGTATGCTATTATAAGCAATGCTGCAATGAATACCAGTGCACATGTCTTAATGCATTCATGCTAATACTTTGTAAGATGAATTTTCCTTGAAGTTGGATATACCATAGTTTTACAATTTTTATGTAGTCAAGTATAACTATCTTTTCCCTCTATGACTTCTGGCTTTTGCCATTGGTGCCATACTTAGAAAGGTCCTCTCTACTCTAAGAGCTAAATACATATACATTTTCTTAATTTTTCTTGTGTTTTTAGTTTTGTTGTATATCTTCAATACACACGTAAGTTATTTTTGTGAATGGTGTAAAATAGGAATCTACATTTTTTAAGTAGATGAAATTATCAGTTGCAAAGAAACAGCAAATGCACATAGCTCTCCTAACTGAGATAATTAGTCATGAACAGACATAACAGAAGCAACCTGAAATTCCACTTGGGCATATTTGTGGACTCTACTTAGTTCACTAATTTATTTGTTCATTCCTAGCCTAGTACAACATGATTCATTTTATTATATGTTTAGAGAAAATTCACACTAGAAGGTAAGCTTCCTGAGGGCAAAACTCAGACCAACTTGATAGCTGCCTTCTCCTCTCTGGTTCACTGCTATATTCCCAGAAGCTAGGCTAGAACCTGGCATATGGTAGGTACTTAATGAGTATATGTTGAAAGAACCATTAAATACATGAACTTTGGGTATTTCAAAACTCATTTTCTTGACCCTCTGCTCTTCTCCTTGTTATAAAATGGTAACCTCAGGTTTCTGGTTGGAAGCCTTTTTTAGTAGCTAAAATAGGCTTAAAACACTGTTCTTGCCCTCTCGCTAACATAATAAAACATTAATGAAACATTGTCAACACCCATCGTGTGTGGGGCACTACATTAGATGCAAGGGTCACAAAGGTTCTATATAGGACAGATTCCCAGCTAATGTTCTGATTAGGAAGGAAAAGTGTACATACACACAAATACATATATGTAAAATAAATAATTATATAAAATGTTAAGTGCCAAAGAGATGATGCAGAAGAATACAGACCATACAGTCAGGACTAGGCTTCCCTGAACCAGCTTTCCTATTGATAAAATAAGCAAAATAGCAATTCCTACTTCCTAGAATAATTCAAGATTTAGATAAGAAGGGAGTAACCAAGGATGGTCCTAAAACATTGCATTATAGTAAGAGTTAAACCTCAATAATAATAATAATAATGAATCGGAGAGTTTTTATTATATGAGTTTTAAATACTTTCATGCATTCACTCATTTAATTCTCTTAACTGTAAGGTGTAATAACTATTATTCTTTCCTTCCCGCTCCAATTTTAACGATGAGTATATTTAACTTTGGTCTGCACATAAAATAAAGTATGAAGGTCAAACCCAAAGATTCTGAGTTTGACTTAACTACCACACAAAACAGTCTTAGTACACCTTAAAACAGTCGAATTTAGACAAGCAGCCAGATTATGGGAGACACATTAATCCATTTGCTTGAACAATAAATTGACAACTTTGGTTAAGGTATTAGTAGTTAAATAAGGCAGCAGAGTTTGATTACACAATAAATGTTTTGGAGGTGCTTCTCTCATCTTTACCATTACTAAATTCATGCAGTTTTTGACAGAAAGAAAGACAATTATTTTTGAATTATCAATGCTATTACCCTGTTGCCAGAGCACAAGAGCCGGCTGCGATCCTTTGGGAACCTGGTCTCGTTGGCTGTGCGTTTACCGCCTCCACGGATCTCTGTAAAGACAACCCAGTTTAATCTAGTTGCAACTGATCCTGAATATCACCAGTTCCTTACTCCGAATCTCCACCCCGCCCCCACTTCACGTGTCCTGCTCCTGTGGGTCCTAACAGCACGGGGAACTTCCTCTGGAACAGAAGGCCAGAAAACAATTGCCTAGGTAACTGCGTCGCCTTCCAGTCAAGTCCCATACCGACGCTCTGAGACCGCGGGCTCCTTTACCTCTACTTCAGACCCAACTTTGGCGACATCAGGCCTTGGGCCAAACATCTGGCCTTGTGCCCCGAGTCCGCCCTTCCCGGGCCTCAGTTTCCACATTAAATCTCCAGAGATAGGCTGCGGAGTAGGCCCATTCTCCTGCTATGAGCTCCTACATTCCCGGCCACTTGACCCAGAGGTCTGGGATCCCAGCCTCTTAGTACCTCGGGGCCTTCTCCTTCCCCCGCCCAGCTCAGGCCTGTTACCTCATCTCGCTTCGCGTTCTTCCCCCAAATCACCCTACTCCTACCGCGCACCACAGTGTCCACGGCGTTCCCGGAGCGGCGTTCCCAGAGCCGCGAGCGCCGGAGCGCGGGAAGGGGCCTAGAGGCGGGACCGGAATCCTGGAGCCAAGGGGCGGGGCGCTTTTCGCCAAGCAGCCAATGAGCACGCGAGATTTGCCCGATCTTTGCGCGCGTTGAGCGTGGGGCGGAGTCTGGGGTGGCTGGGCCGACGGTTGAGAATGCAGCTGTTTGAAGCTGAGGTGGCAGATGGTGGGGATCTTGAGTGGTTAGGACGAAGTTGGAGCCGAAAGAGAATGACGAGTGGACCCTGGCACATCGACGGTCGCGAGCGGGTTCTCAAGTTAGGCGAGAGTTTTGAGAAGCAGCCGCGCTGCGCCTTTCACACTGTGCGCTGTGAGTAATGACCACCCCAGGAAAAAGGGGACATCTCTGGGTTATGGGGGTTTGGAGGCAGAAATCTCAGAGTTGTGTTTCCACAGACTCTCTTATTCTGCTGAAGAATGGGGTGCCCAGCGATCCATTGCCTGAAGTCTTACAGGGGTAGGTGGAAGGAGTCGGAGTCCAGCAGGTGTGGGCAAAACCGCGGGCAGCGGGTTTAAGTGAAACCAATAGACAAAGAAAAACTTTGTGAGGGTCTGCAGGAGTGACTGTGGAAGCAGATGTGGATAATGTAGAGGTGGAAAGGAAAACAGTAAAGTGGCAAAGGAAGGGGACAAAGGACCGAACTTAGAGGAAAAGGAACACCTTGAGACTGGTGGGGAAATATTCTCTCCTTTCTTTACTTTTTCTTTTTGGCTAATTAGGGTTCTTAATTAGTGTGTTCCTGGGGAGAGATTAGGAACTATTCCAATAATTTGCATCTCTTTTGGATTCCTGATTTCATTCAGTTATCAAATACTGATTATCAAATTGTTGGAGGGTGTGTTATTAATTTCTTTATTGGAAAGATATTCACTTACCTATGATTTCTCCTTTTGACTCCCTTTTGGTTTGTCCTCTGTAACTAGTTTTGATAAGTTATATTTTTTTATGTTGTTGAGGTTGAAAAGGGAGCTCTTTCGCTTTAATAGTTGGATGGTTATATAGATTCCAGGAAGGAAAATATAGCATATTATGATTTGGTATGTAAAATATTAATTCTTTGCATAATAGCCCCCGTAGAATTATAGACCGGAAAGGAAACTCTGAGATCATTGAATCGTAACCTCTTATTTTTCTGTGCTAAAGTTGTAAAGTAGGTATTTTTTTTCACTTCCTTTTCCAAGCTCTGCACTTCCTTATTGTCTAGTGTCTCATCTTTCCACCTTTCTCAGTCATTTTGTCCTTAGACTGTCCAGAGATCTTTATGGTTTTCACTGAGTTGTTTCATCCTGCAATCAAAACATCCAATTAAAATTTAACATTCCCCCAACATTTAAGTTTTAGACAACCTAATTATATTAACTCACAGTAAAGATATGAAGAACCAATAGGTTTTTAACTTTCCAAGGATATGTGAACATTTTATAAAGGGTTTTGTTAAGTGAAATTAAAGTCTAATTGATAGAATAAATGGGAGATATATTTGCATACAGGGAGGGACTCTTAAACAATGTCCCTTGATTCTTCTCTGTATTCCGTCATTCTAAGCTCCCCAGAGTGAGACTAGTGCTGGCTGTACTCTCTTGTCTTCTTCAGTCCCATTTTACAAAAGTATGTTGTAGTTCTTTTATCTATTTTCTCCATGCCTTACTCTCAAATAGTTTGCCTCTCTCCTTCCCTCTTTTTTCTCAGGTATGCAGTAGTCTTAATTTTTCAAATTACAAAATTTAAGATTATAAAAATTGACTCAAGAATATAGTTTCATATATCTTGGGGATATAGTCTCTTTTTAAGAGTGTGAACCCCAAATTAAGTGAATAAAAATAGCTTTTGGAAAGCACTTTGCAGGTGCTTCAAAGCCTTTCATTTATAATGGTTCTCAAAATGCTGGAATTTTGTCTTAAGAGTCTGAGAATCGGCTGATCCACCTACAAGAACTAAAGTTAAAAAAAAAACAACCATAATAAACCCAGATGTGTGAATACACTCTTAGTCCTATGGAAGACATTAAAGAGATTTTCAGCCCTTAGTTTTATTCTTGTTGTTGAATCAGGCAGAATTCTTCTAGATTTATTTAAATAAAATAAGTCATTATTTTTGAGGATAGGTTCATTTTCCATGTGATTCTCACTCGTAAGGTCTCGCAGTAAAGTAAGGAAACTATAGGATAAGAGAGATGATTTTTTTATTGTATTTTTTTTTGTATTTTTTTCCATTACCATTTAGTCCCCTTATACACCCTTCCCATCAGCAATCACCACACTGCTGTCCATGTCCCTGGGTCCTTTTACCAGCCCCTAATCTCCCCCTCCCCACCCCTTAGCTCTCTATCTATGAGTCTGCTATCTGTGAGTCTGTTTCTATATTGCTTGTTAGTTCAATTTGTTCATTAGATTCCACATATAAGTGAGATCATATGGTATTTGTCTTTCTCTGACTAGCTTATTTCACTTAGCATAATGTTCTCCAGGTCCATCCATACTGTCGTAAAGGGTAAAATTTTCTTCTTTATGATGACCAAGTAGTATTCCATTGTGTAAATGTCCCATAATTGTTCTATCCAGTCCTCTACTGATGAACAATGGGGCTGCTTCCATATCTCAGTGATTGTAAATAAGGCTGCAGTTAGCATAGGGGTACCTGTGTTCTTTTGAATTAGTGTTTTGGGTTCCTTTGGATATATTCGTGAAAGTGGGATTGCTGGGTCAAAAAGTAGTTCCATTTTTTATCTTTTTGAGGTATCTCTGTAATGCAGATTGGTGTAGCCACTGTAGAGATCTGATTTTCATGCAGAGCAGCTGAACCTAATTTGTAACAAACACTCAAGTTCATGTAGTCTGGGAGAAAGTAAAATTCTTTCTTTATGTGAAGTGGTAATTATGTCTGTGCAATATGCTGAGGCTTTGGAAAAACCTGTATGTGAATTCTATCCTCTACCACACATATGTTATATAACTCTGAGAACATTCTCTAAGATCTCAGCCTCAGTGTTTTAATATGTAAAATGGTAGTAATATCTAAATTTCAGTTTTTTAAGGATTAAATAAGGTAGCATAAACAACCTAGCACAGTTTTTGATGCATGGTAGAGAGTAAATAGTAGTCACCATTATTCTTGAAGGGTTATATTTATGTATATATGAGGAGTGCCAATGAATGTAATTTACTTAGACTTTCAAAAACATTTCTCAGGGCTTAGCAATAAAACTATAGTCTGGCATGTGGTAGGGCAGATATGAGATGTTCTATAAATGATTAGCTAAGTGCTTAGCAGCAGATGTTTCATAGGGTAGAAGAGTTTGAGTAACATGTGTCACCAGAATAAATTTGGGATTTGGGCTAGTTCTAGTTTTACAAAGTATATCTAGATAAGGGAATAAACATTGAAATTTCTAAGTTTGTCAATGATACCACTTTTTGCTGTCATGAAATGATGAACTCCTGAGCGTTGACTACAAGGAGATTTTCTGAGGTATCTACCAGAGCCACTTCCAATACAGTGGTCGTTAAGCTTTTGTGTAAGAAAATATTAGAAAGTACAGTAATTATATTTTTACTAAATGTTCTCTGATCAGTGTGGTATATTGGAAAGGGTGTGGATTTTGGAGTTAGTTGAATTAGGTCAAAGCCCAGGAAGTAAGTTTGTTGCAGTAATTTTGGATTCTTTAATGAAGATATTGATGTTATGTGACATTATAGCTAAAATAGTCAGAAAAGTGATCGACACTGACAGAAAAGTATTAAATACAAATTAAGAAATGTTTTTCTATTCTTTATGTAATATAAGTAATTATATTGTAAACCTGAAGAAAATAACGTGGATAAAGGAAATCTAGAGAGAATAAATATGATAAAATTGGCAGTGAGGTTTCCAAACCAAGGAGAACTGAAAGAAATAAATGATTTATTCTGGAATTAGCAACTTACAAGAGAATGCATTTGACCTTTGGAAGCATGAACATGAGATCATTCAACATTCTAAAATTTTAGAACTAAAGCCTTTGAAACTCAAAAGTTGTACACTTCTTTTAAAAACTTGCTTGAAGGTAAATAGACAACATTATTTAAGGAATGCAAATAGGTTCAGAGTAGTTTTCATAGACTTACTGATTATAAGTTAATGCTTATCATTAAATAAATTTACATATATTTTGAGTACATTTCTGTCTTTTTAGTTATCTCAGTTACTGTTGGCATTTATGTTAGGCTTTAGGGGCTTGTAAATCCCTTGAAATTATAATGTATTTGATATGTATAGCTATGCATTTTTTGTACAGAGGATCTATAACTGGCCTATAATTTTCATCAGATGCCCATAGAGACTTATGGCTTACCACCACCCCACAATACACACATACACAAAAGTTAAGAATTGTACCTATAAGGCAAAGGAGCTGAATGAGTGAATAGAATATGTGGCTTGAGTTCTTGACTTGATCTTATACTGGTTTTATTACCAAGGAAGTGCCCCACTGGCAAAATATGGGTGAGAATATTCAATACAAATAGGTGTTGTAAAGATAAAAAAAATAACTTATAAAGAAAAATACATTTTTAAACACAAAATAAGTTCTACTTAACAGTCTATTGGCAGAATTTTACATTAGAGATACTTTTATTCCTCATCCAAGAACATTTATTCATTGCTTTTAGAGAGAGAGGCCAGGAGAGAGGAGTATCAATTGATTGCCTCTCATATGCCCACAGACCAGGGATCCGGACTGCAACGTAGGTATGTGCCCTGACCAAGTATTGAACCTGCAACCTTTCAGTTACTGGGTGATGATCTAACCAACTGAGCCACCCTAGACAAAGCAGAAATGCTTTGTTTGACCCACACAGTTGACTGTTTACAACTAACATGAATGAGTTGTAAATACCCCCAAATCAAGATCTTTTATACAGAAATATGGATTACCAGCTTGTCTTTTAAAAATCAGAAGATAAGCTGGCAGTACCTAGCCCGTATTCTTTTTGGCAGCAATTGGCTGGAGTCAAATTGTAGTTGTCTCTTGAAATTGGACTTATTCTCTGGGTCACATGGTTCCTGCTGGTCTGCTGCTTCACTGCCTTGGATTACCTGTCTGACTTCAAAGCATTATTTAGCAGTAGTCTAATGACAGTCATACCGCCTCAGTATTGTCCTTTTGTCATTGTCAGAAAAACATGAGAGGCCAGAGGGCCATGATTTTACTCTAAGATGTAATTTCTAATTTTTACGTATTAATTATAGAGAATTCTTTATAGTTAAATATTAATGGGCGCCTTCTAGTGAGAACAGAAACATGCTAGTGCAAAATACAAAAGGAATATGGCAAGATCTACCATAAAGAAACTATAATCTTGCTTCATTGGTAAGATTTTGGAAACAATTCTTATTAGCAAAATATCTTAATTTCTGGGAATTCAACAGAAAGAAGTAAGTCCCTAAATTATAAATGAGAAAACTGAGGCATAAGGAAAAGTTGAATAGGTTAAGATATTTTGAAAAGTAATAAGATGAAATTAATATTTATATAAGAGTTATGTAACAAGTTAACATTTACAGAACATAGCCTATTCATTTATCTTAAATTTATAATTGTTTACATTAATTCTTATGAAGCAAGAAGAGCATATATTATCTCTTTGTTATAAATCTGTATTTTCAGTCTTTTTCCTTCAATGACTTTGTGTGATATATAGAAGATAGAAAATAAAGTATGATATAATCAAGAGCTTAAATTTTATATAATTTATTTTTACTGTGAAAAAAGATTAGTACCTTATTATTAGTGAATTCCTTTGTTTTCTAGGAAACAAAAGTATATTTGAACCTTTTACCTAGTTTTCTCAAGTAAAATATTAAACAACTAAAAAAAGAAAGAAACGATAGTCTTAAAGTAACAGTGAATCTAATTCCTCAGGAAACAATTAGAAAACAAGCTTCTACACATAATTTAATTTAAATTAGTTTACATCTAAAAATAAGTTTGCAGGTGGTTCAGAAAAGATTTAAGAAATACAGGGTTTGGCACAAATAACATCCATTTTTTTATTACAAAATCATAAGCGTGTAATTTTGTAACAACAATATCACACTCAAGCACACCATATGACATTTTAGGTGAAATGTTCAAATTGAAACTATAAATTATTACACCTATCTTCTTACCCTACCAACCACACTCAAACAGGTCTTACTTTTGCTGGACCCTGTATACTGATGTGAATTATTTTTAAGTGATTTGCACATTTCAGAGGTTTTTTAGCTTGTTCAGCATGTGAAGTATCTCAGCACTCTAAATTCCTTGTAGGTGATATATTTTAATGACATGATATGAATTACGATTTAACTCAATATGAAAACTATTTGAGATATGTCTCCTAAAGCAAGGGACATAAAGGGAAGAATAAACAAGTGGGACCTCATCAAAATAAGAAGCTTCTGCACGGCAAAAGAAAACATCAGCAAAGTGAAAAGGGAGCCAACCGTATGGGAAAATATATTCGCTAATGATACATCAGATAGAGGTTTGATCTCAAAGATATATAAAGAACTCACTCAACTCCACTCCAAGAAGACAAACGATCCAATCAAAAAATGGGCAAAGGACCTGGGCAGACACTTTTCCAAGGAGGAGATACAGAGGGCCCAGAGACATTTGAAAGGATGCTCAGCATCACTAGCCATCAGAGAAATGCAGATCAAAACCACCATGAGGTACCACCTCACACCGGTCAGAATGGCCATCATAAAAAGATCAACAAACAACAGGTGCTGGCGAGGCTGTGGAGAAAAGGGAACCCTAGGACACTGTTGGTGGGAATGCAGACTGGTGCAGCCACTGTGGAAAGCAGTGTGGAATTTCCTCAAAAAGCTGAAAATGGAACTGCCTTTTGATCCAGTGATTCTCCTGCTGGGACTATACCCTAAGAACACCAAAACGCCAATACAAAAGAACCTATGCACCCCAATGTTCATAGCAGCACAATTTACAATAGCCAAGTGTTGGAAGCAACCTAAATGCCCATCAGTAGATGATTGGATCAAAAAATCATGGTACATATACACAATGGAATACTACGCAGCAGAAAGGAAAAAAGAAGTACTAAACTTTGCGACAGCATGGATGGAACTGGAGAGCATTATGCTAAGCGAAGTAAGCCAGGGGGCGAAAGACAAATACCATATGATCTCACCTATAAGCGGAACCTAACCAACAATACAAAGATGCAAGGAAAATAAGACCAGCAACCCTGAAAGGAAAAGAAATCAACAGAGACAAAAGGGAAGGAGTGGGGGGCGGGGAAAAGGAAGGGAAGGGGAAAGTAAAGGAACATATAGCAAAGACTCATGGGCAAAACCAAAGGGGAAGAGCTGAGGGAGGGAAGGAGGGAGGGGACAAGGGAAAGTGGTGGGGGGAGGCAGAGACAAATGTATTTGAAAAAATAAAATAAAATTAAAAAAAAAAAAGAAGACTCTGAAGTTTTTCTGAAGTAGCAGATTGGTTAAATTTATACATCCTTTAGTGAGGTACATGTCCATGAAAAACTCAAGCTGTTTAAACTAAGTAAGTGCTTTTTCTTAAGTTTCCCCATGAATATGTATTTGCCATGTATTTATTCATTTTGTGTTCTGCTCGGATAGCAAACAAGTGATAGTAGGCACCCACAATGGCTTAAAAAAATTATGGGAGAAAAAGGACTGAAAATTGAAAACATTTTACTGATTTCAGCTTTTAGCCATTGTGAAAACACTGATATTATTTAGTTTTAAGCATTGGAACATTGTAGTCTAGTTTATCTTGATCTAAACAGGATTCCAGGGAGCATGGTTTGAAGAATACTGTTTTAGAGTATAGCTATTTCTTTCTTTCTCTGAATTATTCATACAGAAATAAGCTGGATTTTGTTCATATATTTGTAATATAGAGATTCCTTTAAACCATTCTAATTACTGGTTGTTGAAAAATAAACTTATCACCCTGAAACATGCTCATGTTTTTGATATCCAGGTATTCAGGTGTTGTTCCATCTCATAAAAATCTGTATCTGGTTTCAGATGACTTCAAACCTGCTTCTGTTGACACTTCTTGTGAAGGGGAGCTTGAGGTCGGCAAAGGCGAACAGGTGACAATAACTCTGCCAAATATAGAAGTGAGTATTTCTATATATTTAGACTAAAGGGATATTTTTGTAAGATTTCCACTAAATTTAAATGAAATAATTATACAACTCATGTGTAATATTGATATTTAGTGATAGTTAAAGTAATTAATAAACACAGAGAGGCAAAAAATAATCCTTTATTTTAGGTAGAACAATCTTAAATATTTTAATCTATCTTTTCATTATATTTATTGATTATGCTATTACCATTTTCCTGATTTTTTTCCCCTTTGCCCCCCTCCACCCAGCGCTGCCTACTCTTTCAGGCAATCCCCCTACCATTCATTGTTCATGTCCATGAGTCATGTGTATAAGGTCTTTGGCTACTCCATTTCCTATACTGTACGTTACATCCCCATGGCTAGTCTATAACTACCTAGTTGTGTTTTTTAATCCCCTCACCTCTTTACCTGCTCTCCCCCTACCCCCTTCCATCTGGCAACCATCTGGTAACTAACTTCTTTTCTCTTGCTACTTTTAAGAGTCTCTCTTTATCTTTAATCTTTGACCTTTTCATTATGTGTTTTGGAATGGACCTCTTTGCATCCATCATAATTGGGACTCACTGTGCTTCCTGGACTTGCATGTCTATTTCCTTCGCCGAATTAGGAAATATTTCTTTCATTATTTTTTCAGATAGATTTCCAATTTTGCTCTTTCTCTTCTTCTGGCACCACTGTGATGTAAATGTTGGACCTCTTGAATTGTCCCAGAGGCTGTTTATACTATCCTCATTTCTTTGGATTCTTTTTTCTCCTTGTTCTGATTGGTTGTTTTTGGTTCCTTATGTTTCAAATCATTGATTTGATTCTTGGCTTCATCCACTGTACTGTTGTTTCCTTGTAAATTGTTCTTTATTTCTATTAGTGTATCCTTTGTTTCTAATTGGATCTTTTTTTATGCTACCGAGGTCCTCGCTGAGTTCCTTGAGAGTCCTTACAACCAGTGTTTTGAGCTCTGCATCTGCTAAATTGCTTATCTCCATTTCATTTAGTTTTTTTTCTGGAGTTTTGATCTGTTCATTCATTTGAGCCATGTTTCTTTGTCTCCCCACTTTGGCAGCCTCCCTGTGTTTGTTTCCATGTATTAGGTAGAGCTGCTTTGACTCCCTGTCTTGGTAGTGTGGCCTAATATAGTAGGTGTCCTGTAAGGTTCAGTGGCACAACCTCCCATAACACCCAAGCTGGGTACTCGAGGTGTGTCCTTCATGTGGGCTGAGTACACCCTCCTCTTGTAGTTGAGCCGGGGTTGCTGTGGTCAGATCAATGGGAGGGATTTACCCAGGCCAGTCAGCTGCAAGGACTGGCTGTGACTACTTGCCACCAACCTTCACCCTCAGTGGAGGATCAGCTGTGCAAGGGCAGGGTGGTGGTACTCTGATGTGGTTTGTAGCTGTCCACTGGGTGCACTGGCACTGGATTTGCCCAGGTGGTACAGGTCAAGGTCAGCTTCTGCCTGTATTTGGCCTCAGGCCATCCTGCCTGAGCTATAAAGCAATCTGAGATGGCTGCTACCTGTGCAGGGCTTGGAGATTCCCAGGTGAAGCCAAGATGTAAATCTAGGTTGGCTGCTGCTAATGCTGGATCTGGGGCTCACTGAGGCCAGCTGTTGCTTGTTTGAGAGGATTTAGGAAGTTGTGTAGCATGAGTCAAGACCAGCCATTCATATGGAAAAGCACCTTGGGTGGCCTGTAAGTTGGGTGGGGCAGAGTCTTTGAGCATCTCCAAGGCAGCTTAAACAGTGTTAGCCAGGTTGATGGAGTCTCAGATATGGCACCAGCTTGCCAGCTCTGTGGCTCTGTGAGGGGAGGGTTTAGAAATAGGACAATGGCCTCTTCTTGCCTTGATGCCAGACACTTCAGTTCCTCCCAGTATGCCACTGGTGCCTTTCAAGCTGCTACCCCGGTACTGGAGCTCAGAGGGAGTGAGTCTGAGTAAGTTCTTGTGTGGAGTTTTTAGGAACTGCTTGGGGCTCCAGGAGTTTCTTCCATTGACTCAATCCCCTCTGGTTTTTGCAGGCAGAAGTTGTGGGGACTTATCTTCCTCATACTGGAAGCCTGGGCTGGTGTGTTTGGTGTGGAGCTGGGATTCCTCACTTCTGAGATATGCCTCCAGAATTTTTATCTACCACATGTGGGTGTGGGACCAGCCTGTTCTGTGGCTGTGCCCCTCCTACCAGTCTGGATGGATGTGATTTCTTTAATTCTGTAGTTGTCAGATTTCCATTCAGTTCCATTTTGTGGTTGTCAGGCTGCCATTCAGCTCGATTTCTGACATTCCTGAGTGATGGTTGTTCTATATTTTAATTGTAATTTTGATGTGGTTGTGTAAAGAGGAGAGCCATGCCTGCCTATGCTGTATCTTGACTGGAAGTCTTAATGTATTTGAAAAGTTCCAACAGTTATATCAAATAATTTGATATAATTGGATGTCTAAGTAAATATTTATTAAATTACCTCTATAAGTCAGATTATATACTCCAAGCTAGGAATAATAACATATCCCCTGCCTTCTAGTCCTAATCTGTAATAACAGAAAGACATGTAAACATGTAGTATTATAGGTTAGAGCATGTGCAAAATACTGTGCAAGCTCATAAGTGGAATCAAATACTCTTATCTTGTGGAATCTTGGAAAACTTCCAATGAAGATGCTATTTGAGCTAAGCCTTAAAGGATAACTTGAATTTTACCAGGTAGAAAGAGTAGAATTTTCTGGGCAGAAGAAATAGTATGGGAAAGACTAGTGAAGAAAGAGCAATAGGTTTGTGGGATAAATGAATTAATGTAGTACAATATAGAATAATGGGATATAATTAATAGGAGTAGAATCCAGAAAGTTAGGTTGGGATTAGATCGTGAAGAATCTTTTATGTTGCAATATGGAATTTGGACTTTATCTGCGTTTTAGAGAACTATTAGAGGTTTTCAAGTAGAGAGTTAACATGAATAGATTTATGCTTTTGGAGTGATTTTAGCTTAGGGACTGGAATGGAAAAGAAAGAGACTAAGATCAGGGAGGCCTTAACCAAATGTTTTAAATTTTGACTATTTTTAAAATTTCCAGATGTATCCAAGTAACACTATTTACATAATTATACAAGTTCTTTGTTATATGCTCTAGTTTACTTAGTCCTTGAGTTAGAAATTTCTTAGCATTCATCTTAAGTTTCTTTTTTTTTTCTTTTATACTAACTTGATCTCTTCTCAGAGAAAACCAAGACTATAACTTTAAAATAGAAAGAAAACATGGATACTCTGTTTTGAAAGTAAGTTGAAGTTGCCTAGGTGAAAGAAAGAGGGAAGGACATTTTAGGCAGAGAAAAGAAAAGATATAGGCTAAGATAAAGCAAGAAAAGAATCTGTTACATCTGAAGAACTATATATAAGCCACAGTGGCTAAGTGAGAAGGGGTGTATATGAGGACGTAGTGGGGTATAGAAAGGTATTTAGGAATCAGATAATAAAGGACCTTTGTGTAATGTATAAGTGTTTGAACTTTATCCTGTAACTCTTAGCAGCTAGAATGAAAGAGAATTGGTAAAATGACCACCTGTCAAGAGTAAAAAAAAATTTTTCTGCTGGGCTTATACTTCTCTTCTTGTGAACAAGAAGAGAAATTGCAATCTCAAATAAACTTTGTGAATTTTTCCCTCTTAATTAAAAACAACTTTAAACAAGTGGGAGATTTATGTTTCTTCAGAGTTCTTAATTTTGTGGGTACTTTATGGAAATGTAATGATTATTAGTTTGAGACATTTAGATTCTATTTCCTTTATGAATTCATTTTCATCATCCTGGTAAAAATGCCTAGAAACTTGGAAGCCATCCCATAAAATAGAACCTTTATTATGCTATACTTTTATGAAGGTTCTGGTGGCTCTTTGATTAGGTAAATTTTCTAATTTGCACTCCTCTAAGGATTTTTTGGTAATACCAAATAGAAGAAACTAATAAAAATAAAGACACTAGCTGGTTAATATTGGGCATTACAAATCTCTCTTCTTTACAAAGAATTCTATGTGGTTGAATGCTATAAAATTTCAAAATGTTGAATTTTGAAAGGAAAAGACTTACTTGACTATTATAATTTATCATTTGTGCAGTCCAAGTTTGGCATATTTTTAGTGCCATCTTGTAGGGTACTTTTGTGGTCCTCAATGAAATAGCCCACTGGAAACTTCCAACTACAATTCCTATTATGCAGTAAAGGCATATCTAATGATTGCTTATGACTTTATCCCTCAAACCCTGAATCTGTGAGAGTTCTATATGTCTGGTGGGCTACTATTTCACCCTGTATGACCCTCTTGAGCAGAGTGGGATGAACCCACTCTGATTCCTTTCATTAAGTTTACTTTGCTCATGTGGGAAAATAGTCCACCACATTCTAGGCACTTTGGCTTATTTTAATACCAGTCCTATTTTAACAGTTTGTTAGTTATATTTTTATTTATTTATTTATTGTTGATTTGAGAGAGCGAAACATCAGTTTTGTTGTTCCACTTATTTATGCACACATTGGTTGATAGTTGTATGTGCACTGACTGTGGATTGAACCCACAACCTTGGCATATCAGGACGATGCTCTAACCAACTGAGGTACTGGCCAGGTCTTATATTTTTAAATGAATTATATCTTTCATCATTACATAATCAACACTTTTTATCCTGCTTTGGTGATTTTAAGCTTAAATATCCCCTTGTCTAATATTAATATTGCCACCTTTGCTTTCTGTTTGCATGTTCATGGAATCTTAGTGTCTCTTTTATTTAGCTGATATTTTGTTTTAATTATATCTTTTGTTAACAGAATATGGTTTCATTTTAAAGCCCAGTTTGACACATTCTGTTTTTGTTAGAATTATATCCACATTTAGTTTGAAGTTGACATATTTGATTTTTATTTCTATCATTTTGTAGTAGGTTTCTTTGTAACTTTGATTTATTTCCTTTTGGTTCTTTATTTAGTTTCAGGCATTTCTTCTATTTTTTTCTTTTTTTCTCTCATGCAACTTCAGGAATACTATTGTACTAGTACTATTTTATTCTATTATTGATTACTTTCCTTTCCTGATATTTATAATCAGGCATGATCAATCACATTTGCCTGTCAGCAGATGAGAAACAAAACTGGAAGGAAAGTATAGAGGAAAATAACAGTAATCTAGGTGAGATGATGATTGGGTTCTGAGTTGGTAACAGCAGTAAACATGAAGATGATAGGATATATTCAATAGTTATTTAGAGGCAAGGATAGTTCATATGCTTAGGAGTTACCTGGTACTTTAATACTTTAATACCCCTTTCTTGAGGTATAGAATAAGATAATGAGCAGAAATTAAAGTTAATATAAGAATGACACTCAATTTCATGAGAAAAAAAGTTTAACTTTTAAAAACTTATTTAAAGTGTAAAACACTCTACAAATTATGAAAGTCTTATTTAATTTTTTAATTATGATAAAACATGTTCATATTGTTTGTATTCAACACTTATTGAGTATCTGTGAAGGGCTTGGTAGTCTAGGTGCTAAGAGCAATGAAAAAAATTTATGATCCAATCCTTATTCTTTAGTATCTCAGACTACAATAATGTATCATAATTTTAGGATGTATTCTATTCTAAATAATAATACAAATATCTTTAAGAAGAACATATTGCATGAATCTTTTGTCAACTGTAATTTGGAGTCCTTGGGTTACTATTTTGAGGTATCATTGTCACTTGTTTTCAGCTAGGATTTTTGAAAAATATACCTACCACCCAAGTAGGCCCAGTTGGTTTTGTTAGGATCATGCTTCTGGCTCTTCACTTTTCCGGTGCTTCACTTAAGTGCACCACATCTCACTCTTCTAAGGTCACTCCATACATGTCCTCGTCTATGTGCAATGCATGCTTGATTTTCTGTAGATCATTTTAGTCTTAGATATGAGGTGAAAAACCTATTCTTTTCTTTTGGTTTTATCATTTTCCCTTCCTACCTCTCAGAAGACTCTAATCTACTTCCCATTTATGGTATCCTTAATCACCAAATTTATCTCATACTATTCCTTGCGGTCACATATTAAATGATATATTAAAAAGATATGCCCGTTAGTCTTTTTAGAAGTCACCGTTTTCTAACCTGATCTAATGTTACTGTTATATTTGACAAAATTCTTATAATCAGTACTTCAAAAATTTAATGCACTTTTATAAAATTCAAAAACAAGCAAATATAACACTTTATTGTTTAGGGATACATAAATATGGAATAAAGTTAGAGAATGATAAATACAAAATTCCTTCAGGATTGAGGAATGCAGACGTAGGATGGAGAAGAAACACGTGTAGATGTAGGTTGTTAGTAATGATCTAGGTTTCTTTATCTGTTTATTATGGAATACTGTAATGAACTCTCATGTTCTTACCTTTGACCTTCAATTAATTATTATTTTGCTAATCTTCTTATATAGTCTCCTACCACTTTTTTCCCTAATAAAATTTTAAAGCAATCCCAAATATTATGCCATTTCCTAGGTGCTAATGTATGGATCTCTGACTGACAAGGATTTTTTTTTTAAACCTAAGTACCATGCAATTATCACATGAAGCAGAATTAATTATAATACTTGGTCCATACTCACATTTTCATGATGGTCTCAAAAATGTTTTTCCCATAGAAACCCAAATAAGATTCCTGTAATATTTTGACATTATGTTTCTTAAGTCTCTTTTGTTCTATAAAAATCCCTTCCACTTTATATTCTATGAGATTGTTAGAAAAAACTGTTTGTTCATCTTAGAGAATATACTTATGTGCTGAGTTCAAATTACTCGTATCTGGTATTATTTAACTTATTCCTTCATTCCTCACAATTCCTATAAACTGGTGGTTAAAGGCTCAATGAGAGTTAGATTCTTTGTGGGGTTTTTTGTTTGTTTATTTTTAGCAAGGATACTTTATAGGTGATGCTGCATACTTTCTTTTATATAACATCATGAAGCATATAATGTCTGGTTGTCCCACTTTTAATGATGCTAAAATTAATCAGTGGGTTTAGTGTAACAGGCATTCCTTGATGTATTCATTTTCCTTAATCTGCATAGGGGAGCACCACTTTAAGAAAATACTTAAAAAACTAAACTTATGAAAGAAGAAGAGGGGTAGGAAATAAATGTAATTCAGGGCTTCTGCTACTTTATTTGGAAAATATATTGGTTGTATTAGAATTGAATCCCAATTGCCAGTTGTAGACAAATGAAACAAATCTTTACTGGCTCAGGGAAAGTACTTTCTCTATTCCCTTTCTTCAAGGATAGCAGCTTTAAGATGTAGCCTCTCTTCATCTCTGACTTTTTATTAAATTTAGGTAGCTATGTGACCTGAAGTATAACATAGATTGAGAAACACAGACAATCCCAGAGTCCTTCCTAACTGAACTAACATGATAAATTTTAAGTAACGGTAATTAACTTTTTAAACAGGGATCAACTCCGCCAGTAACTGTTTTCAAAGGTTCAAAGAAACCTTACTTAAAAGAATGCATTTTGATAATTAACCATGATACTGGAGAATGTCGACTAGAAAAACTCAGTAGCAACATCACTGTGAAAAAAACAAGGTATGTGGTTAACAAAACAAAGTATTTTATCAGCACATAAATTGCTAAGGAAATGTCAGTGAAAAAAATTATTTGATTAACTTACATTATTATATAATTATTATTTCCATGTGGTACAAAAATGTTTAACCTTTTTCCAAGTTTATTTTTTCTTTTTTTCAACTTATAAATCATGTTTATTCTATTACAGTTGTCTCAATTTTCCCCCCTTAACCCCCCTCCATCCATCCCGCCCCACCCCCCGCTCCCACAGTCAATTCCCACTCTGTTGTCCATGTCCATGGGTCATTCATGCATGTTCTTTGTCTAGTCCCTTCCCCTTCTTTCCACCATTGTCCTCTCTCCCCATCCCCTCTGGTCACTTTCACTCTGCTCTATGTTTCCGTGCCTGTGGTTTATTTTGTTCGTTAGTTTATTTTGTTGAATAGAGTCCACTTATAGGTGAGATCATATGGTATTTGTCTTTCATCAACTGGCTTATTTCACTTAGCTTAATATTCTCCACTTCCATCCATGTTGCCGCAAAAGGTAGGAGTTCCATCTCTCTCTTTCTTGCCTAAATGCAGATTTATTTATTTATTTTTTTAGATGTCAAAGTTATAAAATATTACAAAAATGTAAAACCATTATAAAGTCTCAGGAATTAAACCAACATGACATCAGACAGAAATAATCAAGTAGATCAATGAAATATAATGAGAACTCTAGAGACAAACGTATATATCTAACAATATAATATATGATTAAGTTGGTATTTCAAATCAGTGGGTTAAATAAGACATTCAACAAACAAGGTGCATGGACCACTATTATTTGAAATAAGACAAATGTAGAGCCCTGTTTCACACATTATACAAGAAATATTCAAGTGAGTTAAAAATCAATATGTAGAATCTAAGGAGTTTTACAATAGAACAAATATTTTTCATGACCTGAAGTAAAATATTCAAACCCAGAAGTTATAAATATTGACAATATGACTATATTAAACATTTAACTATATGGTAATGTACATATAAAAAAAGTTAAAGGAAGAGGAATAGAATAGAAAAGTATTTGCAACATATCTAAAACATGGTTAATAGGTGTTTTTTTTTTGTTTGTTTGTTTTTAGGGAAAAGAGTCCTACAAACCTTTAATCAATAAATGGATAAAGAATACCAAAAAGTCACTTAAAGCTTTTTTAAAAAAAAAAAAATAGAAATAAACAAGAAATATACTAAAACAGGCTTAGTGTCAACAAATAGTAAAGAAACAATTAAAATAACATCATTGTCACAATCAGATTAATGAGTATTAAAAATATTGGTAATATCAAGTATTGGCAACTCTGAAAGGAACTAGGTATTCATAGAAACTCTTCTTCACCTTAAAGCAGTCCCTTTAGCATATTTTGCAGTGGTGGTTTGGTGGAGGTGTAGTCTTTTAACCTTCTTTTGTCTGGGAAACTCCTTATTTCGCCTTCCATTTTAATTGAGAGCCTTGCTGGGTAGAGCAGTCTTGGTTGCAGGCCTTTGCTTTTCATTCCTTGGAATATTTTTTGCCATTCCCTTCTGGCTTACAGGGTTTCTGTTGAGAAGTCAGCTGCTAGCCCTATTGGGGCTCCCTTATATGTTAATACCTCTTTCTCCCTTGCTTCCTTTAGGATTCTGTTTGTCTTTGATATTTGCCATTTTAATGATGATGTGTCTTGGAGTGGGCCTCATAGGGTTCCTCTTGAATGGGACCCTCTGTGCTTCCTGGACTTGTGTGACTTTTTCTGTCCTCCAATTAGGAAAGTTTTCCATCATGACTTTTTCAAACAGGCTCTCTATCCCTTCCTCCTCCTCTTCTTCTGGTATCCCTATTATATGGATATTTTTATGTTTCAGGTAGTCCTGCATTTCCCTCAATGCCTCTTCATTCTTTTTGAGTCTTTTTTCATATTCTTGCTCTTTCTGGAAGCTTTTTTCTACCTTATTCTCCATCTCGCTGATTCGGTCCTCAGCTTCATCTAGCCTGCTTTTGATTCCTTGTACTGTGTTCTTCAATTCAGAAATTGTATTCTTCATTTCCTCTTGTCTCTTTTTGATAGTTTCTATGTCCTTTTTCATGCTGATATAGTTTGCAGTAAGTTCCGCATAGTTTTCCTGTAGTTTTTAGTAATTCTCTCTGAGCTCATTGAGCTTGTTGAACTTCCATAGAACTGTTGTTTTGAACTCAACATCTGATAGTTGACTTGCCTCTATTTCACTTAGTTCTCTTTCTGGCAATTCCTCCTTTCCCTTCGAGTGGTGGGTATTTCTTTGTCTTCCCATTATTTGTGAGACTCTTGTCTTTTGCTTCTGATTCTTAAGTTCATACGTCTTGTTCTCCTGACTTGTGGTGTCCTTTTTCCAAGTTTAAATTTGGTGGAGAGCCTTAGGCAAAACCTTGTAGGATTTTTCTTTTTGATATGTAAAAGTTTGTTTTGTTTCTGAATATTTCTGTTTGTATCTATGTATACCTTAGTTTATTGTAGATGCTTATATGGAACTAGACTGAAAAGAGCCATTATATACTCTTGAACATTTCATCTTCATTAGTAAAAGTTTATTGAACACCTAGAAAATATGTAAGGTATTAGGAAAGGGAAAGTTTTCTACAAAAGTACTAAAAAAAATTTTCTGTATAAATATTGAAACTTCTACCTTTTAATTGGATTAACATATTATTCTATTTGAAAGGTCAGTAGGAGAATTTAGCCATCTCATATCCTTTTTTGGAACTAGGCAGGTGCCTTAATTGCCATGTAATATAAGGGACTTGCTCTAAAAGGCATGCAAGTAGTATAGACAAAAATTGCTCTATGAATTAAATAAAAGGAAAAGTTATGGTTGGTCGGAGCATTTGGGGAGCCCTTATTGATTTAACTTGAGAGGGGGTTAGATTTAGGGCTTTTTCTTCTCCAAACATACTTGATAAGAATTACCTTTAGTGCTTATTAAAAATGAGTTCTCATATCAAGTTTCAGACTGGGGAGGAGCCTGAGAAGTTCTATTTTTCATTATCCCCTCCCCCCAGGTGATTTTTATTGGTAGGAAAGTTTGAAATTGACTGATTTAATTGATCAGAAAGAACATGAGGATGTAAGTAAGATTTGAAGGTAGGAATATACCTGACCTATTTGGGGCCAATGAATAATACCTGTTTGAATAGAGGAGAGATTTGTCTCCATGCCTGCATATAAATAAATATTAGAAACTGGTGAGTGTGGTTGATAGTGGATCAGTAATAAGGTCATAAAGGTAGGTTGCAACTAATACCTTCAATAATAACTATGAAATTAGGACATTGTCTTAAGGGCTCCATTGGTAGTGGTTTATGTATTAAATTTTTTTAACTAGGGAGTAAATTTTTTTAATTAAAAATATTTTTGTTTGGAAACATTAATTCACCAAACTGAGTATAATGAAACTATAGGGGAAGCAAAAATGTATAAATCACAGTTTTGAAAATAGGAATGAAGAGAAAAGTGAAATGCTTAATACTTTGTTTAGGAAGAACTGACAGGATTTGGTGACTGGAAATAGGAGAGGCAGAAGTCAAGCATAATTATATTATATAATCTTCTTAAAAGAATTGAAAGAAATTGAAAGAATTGAAGGAAAGAAAGTAAATGAATCTGCTTTAGTAACGTGCCTTAAAGTTATGAGTGAAAAATGTGACAGTAATTTAATTTTACAGAAATGATAATTTTACAATTTAGGGAATACATTTGTACCTACTATATACTTAGGTATATTTTATTTTAGGCATTTGTTTGGGTCTCTTGTTTTTGTTTGTTTGTTTCTTTTTTTATCCTTATGTGAAGACATTTTCATTGCTTTTAGAGACGGGGTTAAGGGGGGTTGAGGAGAGGGAGAGAGAGAGAGAGATTGATTGATATGAGAGAGAAACATCAATTGGTTACCTTCTCCTTTGCACCCTGACCAGGAATCAAACCCACAGCCTTTCAGTGTATGGGACAGTGCTCCACCCAATGGAACCATACCAACCAGTGTCATTTGTGTAGGTTTTGTCTCTAATTTTGAGCAGTGGTTTTGTTTTTATTTGCATTTGTACCCCACAATGGAACTGTATATATGCCAAGCATATATACCAGGGATCCATAAACATTTGTTAAATAATGAATTAAATTAGTGTTTTAATTCTTGAATACCACTTAAAGATATCTAGGGAAAAGAATAAGTGGTTAATTTTAGCAACTTTGTAAGTTAAACTTGTTTTTACATTGCCATCATAACTGTTTTGACCTTTGATATTTTTAATTGCAGAGTTGAAGGAAGCAGTAAAATGCAGCCTCGGGTAGAGCATCAGCAGCAACAAATGCGAAATTTAACTAGGACCCCCAGTGTTATAAAACATTCTCCATCCGAAGACAAGATGTCCCCAACATGTTCGATGGATGATATTGAAAGAGGTAAAGTCTAGGTGTATATAGTGTTCTTTTACAAGAAATGATTAAGAATAAGTGAAAACTTTCATTTTAATTAACAAGGGAACTAACTATAAAGTTTTATTGAGAGCAAATTCTTTTTATTATTATGGGTTTTCTTGGTGGGGAAGAGCATAGGTTTTCGTTTAGAGTATTATGTAATTAGTATCTACATAAGAGAGTTTTTATCTTATTATTCAGGGGTAAAAGTGTTTAGATGTGTGTAACTGGAGTTTTCTTCTTTTTGACAGTTGTGATGATTCAAATTCAGTTCTTCACAGCATCTCCAATCAAAGTTCTTTATGCATAGCCAGACTGTAGATGTCTAAGATGTCACCAAAACAATAGTGAAGTGAGGAGGTATAGTAAGCGGAAGCAGCAGGCAAGTTCTTCTGAATTGCTGCTCACTTCTCAGGAGGAAGGTGTTTCTAGGGAGGCACAGTCCTTTTGAAAGTAAGGAAATTTAAATCTCCATTTTTTTTTTCTCCTAGCTGCAGTTTGGGTGTTGGTGTTACAGTAATTAAAGTAGAAGTAAGACCCTAGTCACCACAATATATTTGCTTCTACACTTTTACTTCATAACTTACATGTAGCAGTCCAGTTCCACTTGCTCCCTCCTAGGCCCAGTAGAGTATTAGCTCCCTAATATATGTGTTCCTTTTACTAGCAGTAAGGAAAATAGAAGCTCAGAACTCTTATTGTTAAAAGGAATCTTGGATTTTATTATATCATATCTGCTTCCATAATGGATTTGAATCATGGTATCATAAATATATTTGAATACAGTAAAATATTGTAAAAGAAAATCATGGTATTAAAGGGGAAGAGGAAGCAAATTTGTTAATTAATAAAACATTAAATTTAGATATGAGCTTCATAGTCACTAAGGCAAAAATAAAGACCTAAGTAGCATGTTTTGTTATCTAAGATACTGGTTCCAAAGAATTAGACTCTTTCCTCCTAGTACATTCTAAAACGAGTTCATCATATGGGGCCTGTTCTAAGGAATATTAAATGATACATTATTTTCAACAATAATTTTACAACACAAGAAGTTCCTGTATGTGTCAGTTTTTTTAATCAGAGTCCTTAATAAAAGCAGTGTATTGAAGCATTGTATCATAGAGGATAAGTAAATATGATCCAAATATAAAATCTAACTTTGTATAAGAATTTGCATTGAGATGTTTGTATAGCCTATCCCTTTGACAGTCTTCTTTTAAATATTTTCTTGATCCGTCTCTGCCAGTGTCTCCTCCTATGGTTGAATCATGTTTTCAGATTTATACATTGATGTCTGGCACTTGAATTAGTGTTCCTATGGTTTAACATTTACATTTACATCTTTGAGCTATCTGGAGTTTTAGTTCAAGGAATAAGAATCCAAACTTCCTTCCACCCCAACAGTCTCAATAAATAGTATTGATAGAGAATCAACAAATATTGTATTGATAGAGATTATAATCAATATCCATTTATTGAATAAGTCATCATTTCTTTCATTGATATGAAAAGCCAGTTTTATCACATGCAAAATTTCTATATGGACTTAAGTCTGTCTCACAACATAAAATATACAATGGCCAGTAGAAACATGGTGAGGCAAAAGTGGGCATACAGTTTTGCGTATGCAAAACTCAGAGTTTATTCTTGTATTATTTATCAATTATTGTATTATTTTCCACACGAACAACTGTAAATCTGTTGCCATGCCCAGTATATAATAAATTGATCAAACTCACTAATGCTTTAAAATGTGATTTTAAGATTAAGAAATAGTTTTTCATTTATGAGTATGGCAGTAGCTAAAACGTTTGTCAAATTCTAACAGTTATAAGAACAAAAAGGGGGCAAAGAGGGGGGAAAAGAGGGACATCTTCAATAGTGTGAACAATAAAAATAAAGTTAAAAGATAAATGAAAATTGAGAATGCGCCAGTATGAAAAAAGGAACATAAGCAGAAGCAAGTATGTTTATACATTTTTAAAGATTATGTTTATTTTATTTATACATTTTTAAAAATTTATTTTTATTTTTTAAAATTTTTTTATTTTCGAATCATGTTTATTTTATCACAGCTGTCTCAATTTTTCCCCCTTTGCCCTCCTCCACTCATCCCACCCCACTCCCCTCTCCCACAGTCAGTTCCCACTATTGTCCATGTCCATGGGTAATTCATACATGTTCTTTGTTTAGTCTCTTCTCTTTTCCACCATTATCCTCCTTCCCCATTCCCTCTGGTCACTTTCAGTCAGCTCCATGTTTCCGTGCCTGTAGTTTATTTTGTTCATTGGTTTATTTTGTTGAATAGATTCCACTTATAGGTGAATGAGATCATATGGTATTTGTCTTTCACCAACGGGCTTATTTCACTTAGCATAATACTCTCCATTTCCATCCATGTTGTCACAAAAGGTAGGATTCCATTTTTCTTTTTCTTTTTTCAAATGCAGATTGATTTTATTTATTTTTTTAAATGTCAAGGTCCATTATAAAATATTAAAAAATTTAAAACCATTATAAAGTCTCAGCAATTAAACCAACATGACACCAGCACAGAAATAATCAAGTAGATCAACGAAATACATTCTAGAAACAAATGTATATAACTGTCTAACAATGTAATATATGATTCAATTGATATTTCAAAGCAATGGGGGAAAATAAGGCTAATTCAACAAATAAGGTGCATGGACCACTATTACTTGAAATAAAACAAATATAGAGCTCTATTTCACACATTATACAAAAAATATTCAGGTGAGTTAAAAATCAATATGTAAAATCTAAGAAGTTTTAGGAGAAATACAAAATAATATTTTCTTACCCTGAAATAAAATATTCAGACCCAAAAGCTATAAAGTAAAATATTGACAATATGACTATATTAAACATTTAAGACTATATAGTAATATACATATAAAAAAAGTTAAAGGACAAGTAATAGACTAGGAAAGTATTTGCAACATATCTAAAATTGGTTAATAGTTTTTTTTTAGCAAAAAAAAATTCTACCAATATTTAATAAAAAAAAAAAACAGATAAAGAATACAAAAAAGTCATTTCAAGCTTTTTTAAAATAACAGAAATAGGCAAGAAATATACAAAAAGAGGTTTAATTTTAACAAATAATAAACACTTAAAATATCATTGTCACAATCGGATTAATAAGTATTAAAAATATTGGTAATATCAAGTATTGGCAACCGTAAGGAACTGGGTATTCATAGACTCCTTTTTTCATCTTCTTAAAGCAGTCCCTTTAGCAAATCTTGCAATGCTGGTTTGGTAGAGGTATATTCTTTTAGGCTTCTTTTATTTCACCTTCCATTTTAATTGAGAGCCTTGCTGGGTAGGACAGTCTTCGTTGCAGGCCTTTGCTTTTCATGACTTGGAATATTTCATGCCATTCCCTTCTGGCTTGCAGGGTTTCTGTTGAGAAAGCTGCTAGCCCTGTTGGGGCTCCCTTATATGTTACTACTGCTTTCTCCCTCTCTGACTTTAGGATTCTCTGTTTGTCTTTGTTATTTGCCATTTTAATGATGATGTGTCTGGGAGTGGGCCTCATTGGGTTCCTCTTGAATAGGACTCTCTGTGCTTCCTGGACTTGTGTGACTTTTTCTGTCCTCCAATTAGAGAAGTTTTCCATCGTACTTTTTCAAACAGGTTCTCTATCCCTTGATCTTCTTCTCCTTCTGGTATCCCTACTATACAGATATTATTACGTTTCAGGTTGTCCTACATTTCTCTCAAAGCCTCTTCATCCTTTTTGAGTCTTTTTTCCTTGCTCTTTCTGGGAGCTTTTGTCTACCTTATCCTCCAGCTCCTTGATTCGTTCCTCTGCTTTATCTAGCCTGCTCTTGATTCCTTTTACTGTGTTCTTCAATTCAGAAATTGTATTTTTCATTTCCTCTTGTCTCTTTTTGATAGTTTCTATGTCCTTTTTCATAGTGATATAGTTTGCAGCAAGTTCCTCGTAGTTTCCCTGTAGTTTTTTGTAATTCTCTCTGAGCTCACTGAGCTCATTGATCTTCCTCAGAACTGTTGTTTTGAATTCAATATCTGATAGTTGACTTGCCTCTATTTCTTTTAGTTCTGCTTGGGGAGATTCCTCCTTTCCCTTCGACTGGAAGTTGTTTCTTTGTCTTCCCGTTATTTGTGAGACTCTACTTTTTTTGCTTCTGCTTCTTAAATTGATCTGTCTTGATTTCCTGACTTTGTGTTGTGAACTTCTATGGTAGGAGACCTCTGTTTTTTCTTTCTGGATCTGCCTCTGATGATGACAGATGTTGACCCTGTCTGACCTTAGGCAGTGTGTTGGAGACTTCCAGGAATCTACTGTCTGTGGCTGTCTCCTTCCGCTGTTAATCTAGTCACTCTGCACTAAGCAGGCCAGCTTAGACAGCTCATGGCTAGGCTCAGTCCCTCTGGGGGTGGGGTTTTTGTGTCCTGTCACACTGCTGCCGCTTGGGGAAGTGGTCTGCCTGAGCCAAATGGCTGCTGCTGAATGGGGGAGGAGTCAGCACTGGGATCCCGCCGGCTACTTTCACTGTTCTCTCCCCAAAGCCTCCTTCTCCAGTCTCTCCTCAGGCGTCTCTAGCCCAGTCTGCCCCCGCCTTTGCCAGACTAGGGTAAGTAGCTGCAAATAAAAATTTATGCCTTTGGCCCTTTACACAGCTCTTTGTGTCTCTAGCCGCCTGTCTCTGGCAGAGAGCAACCCTGCCACTTTTCTCAGTTCGCTGTTATCCCTGTACTTTTTGGTCTCTGGTGCTGTGGGCTGGAGATCCCCACTTATGGTTTAAACCTCGCTCTTCTCAGGGGGATCCAGCTGGTCGTTTCACTATTCTTCTGGTGCTGCCACTTATGGGGCGCCCTGTCTGCCTCCTCAAGTCTCTACCACACTGCTCACCTGTTAGGTTGTGTTATAGCTGATTCTTCTGTCCGAGGTTGTAGGGCTCCTCTCCTGCTGTTGTTCACTTGTTTGT